ATGGTAACCCAATGCGTATGTGTAGTGTTTTGATTGAGGACAATGGAAGCTGCCAGGCAAGTGCGCTACAAGCTCTAACATCAAAAAGGTTGCACAAGTGATTTTGTTGCAGCCTAGCAATATAGCCCTCCAAACTGCAAAACCTCTCAGTACACAAATTTCGGTAGCCTGGCCAGCGAATTGTAGTGTTCTCTAATAGCTTAGTCTGCTGAAAACCCATCGCTTCTAGGTTTTTTTCCTTTTCGTTGAAGGGAGACACCTTATCACGAACTGAGTTGCATGGATGTCTGCATGTGCCACTGAGACCAAGCAAATTTCGAATCAATATTTTGTGAACGGAAGTTTCTAGAGAGAATTTGGAAAACTTCTTACTTTAAGTAATATTTCCGTCCTCAGTGAGTCAAGCTCAAAGTAATGTATTATGTACATCGTGCGTTCCTCCACCCCTGTATCCGCCTACCACATTGATCACGCAAACCAACGTAACTATGACAGGCTGATGCTGTTTCTGGTCACGTGAGTGTTCTATGAACAGATGTCTAAAAAGAGTACATGTGTAATAACATGGATTTTTCATATGTAACAAATCTTAATAAAGGAGGATCCACGATGAGTCAAAAAATGGGAGACCTACCCAGTCGAGAAACACGCGGACCTCTTAGATGCGGACCAACAGGCAATTCGCATAGAAGGATATTTGCCCCCGGCAATCTAGCATGGCTGAATTGGCGCGCTATAAGCCCGGTACACCCGCTCCCCCCTCTCGCGTCGTCTCGTGTCTGAGTCTCTAGCCGTTCAGCAGAGAGCGTTAGCGTTGAAGAGGGCAGCACCGATGAGAGTCGCATCAATGCGCAAATCAACGGGCAAGAAAGGCCCCATTTCTCGGTTCTAGGCCATTTTTCTCAGGTTTTTCTTCTTTCGTGCATCAATAATATCTCTAACTTGAGGGTACCTGACAGGAGGCCCGTCGCGCGGCAAGAAGGCAAACCAGCGGACGAGTCGCAGCGCGTACTGTAGGATTTCGCGTCAAGTTAAATAGAATGTACCATTGCACGTCCTACATCGCACATCACGCGCTGCAACTCGTCCGCTGACTCTGCCTTCTTGCCGCGCGACGGGCCTCCTGTCGGGTACCCTAACTGATTTCCAATGGGCTGCCTTTTCATCGTATTATAAAATCCATCTTTTGAACATCATTGGTGGAATTGCGTCCTCGGCAGGGCCGGCTTCCCTATACGAAGTTATTACGACCAATTCAGTTTTCATTGTAGAACATGAAACGACTAACAACATCAACAAGTCTGAAAGTTTCCGCCTAGTAAGGGCTCAAACTGATCCTTGGTTGATATGCTTTCATAAAGCACGTCATAAAGGCATTGCACTTATCATGGTCAAACAAACAAACAAAAATTATAATAAGTGAAACTGAAAGTTATGCACTTTGAAACACTTGAAATCTATAAGAAGTGATCCCGTAAAGTGATACCGTTCGTCACGAAAGCCTTTTCGACTAGGCTTCGTACATCGACTAGAACTAACAATTGATGCGCTGTAGATATGAAACAAGAACAATAACTGCTAAGAGCTTAGGTGATATCGATTAGGAAATGTCATGAAAGAATCTGAAACCACCCAGAGTAGTGTGGCTGATGCTGATGATGAGGTAGACCATTGAGTGGCGAGGCTAATCGCCGCGGGCAGACGAATTGCTTGGAGGGCGGGGCGACGGATGAGGAGAGTCTTGCTCGTTCACCACCGACAACGAGAGATACATCTGGAAGATTTCGCAATTAAAAACAAAACATTTCACTTCACTGAGAAGAATATTTAATCTACTTCAGTTGGAAAACTGCTCCTTTTACGCCGCAGTTCGCGTTGCGAAAGTTATCACAAGAATGCTGAGTTGTGGGCAAAACTTTCGCCCCAGCCGGGATTCGTACCCGGATCTCTTGCTTTCCGGGCAATTGTGCTACCACACACCACCGGGGCCCAAATCTACCATCGAGGCTGAGTTGGGGTGAAATGGAGCCCCGCTAGTGTAAGTGGTAGCACAATTGTCCGGAAAGCAAGAGATCCGTGTACAATTCCAGCAAAGTCAGGAAGAACATCAAAAAACCACACATTACACAAAGAACAAAAGAGTTGTTCTCGGAAAAAGAGCGAAATTCTGTCTCTTTCCCCCTCCCGGGCGGAAGTGGTGTAGTGGCAAGTGGCACGCTTACCACGCGAGCGGTCCGGGGATCAAATCCTGGGTCGTGAGTCGCCCGGGCCAACCAAGCCTTCCATCCCTCCGGGGTCGGTTAATTGGTACCAGACTTGTCTGGGAGGATAAAAACACTGACTTGTACATCGGCTGGCCCCCGCAAGTCATTGTATAGGCCACATCGCATTCAAACGCCACTACGAATGTACAAATGGAAGTAGAATGCGTGCCGCATCCCAAAAAGGGATTGATCAACGGCAAATGCTTTATCCTTTATCCTTTATCCTTTCCCCCTCCGTCCCACAAAAGAAAAGCAATCCTATCGAATGAGATTGGTGCTCACCTTGGAACCGTCGGTGCTTTCCCGAAAATCTCCAACACGATCGTCGTCTGTTTCTTGGGCTTCTCCATCCGTCAATACATCAGTGAGCTCGCAGTCGGCTAGCTCTTCTTCCTCTATAACCCCTGAGTGGTTGTCCTGCAAAAAATGACCATTTAAATATATAACTTTAACCCATTGACCTTTGATGGTACTCAAATTTACCACTACTGTGCACCATATGGGTAATCATGTATCAAGAGCCAAGGGTTGAAGGAACAACATAATACAGGACTAAACTAGAGCCACCACCTCATCCATAACCCTCCTGTCGATCGATCGCCTTTGTCGTGTCGACGGTTCTGCTTCTTCGTGAGATCCCTTTCAATCTATCACCTTTGAGGTCGCGGATTCCTTAAAAAGCACCATAGCTGAAAATCATAGCCACTCCAGAAGATGCTCTGGACAGTCAAAGGACAACGACCGACAAAAATGGCGGACCCCGCGACTGCGCGGGACTAACGCTAGGGAAAAGAAGAAAAAGCTGAAAATTTGGCCTTCTGAAAGAAACTGATCATAACATCAACAATCACCTGATGTTCATTGGACATCGATCGTCTCTGCCTCTTGTTCCTATCGTCTCTTTGGATTGAAATCGAATCAGTGATAGAAGTATATTCGCCATGACGATGACGTCGTACAGCCCTGAATCAGGGTCAGTTTAATGGTGATAAAACGAAAAGAGACCATATGAATGCCCTCAGAAGAAAGCATGAAAAAACTATCGAAAAGTCCGGTCTGCAACTATCTAATTCCCGAAAGAAAAAAGTTCTAATCACGCTATTAATTTGATTCAATAACACACTCAATCACCTTGCATTTTCCTTCACGAAGTCAACACTGTAAAAATGAATTTTCAGACCTTCAATATTATTAACTTTTTGCTAAATATAACTACTAATAAAAAATATAAATACAACTACGAAGAAGAACTACTAATGGCCAAGAACGTACGACATCGATTTAACAGGCGTCACATTGGCTGGATCCAGCGACAGCATACTTCCGTAACGCCGGTCATGAGGACGAGGTGACAGCAAAGCTGGATCTTCCGTTGAACCATGTGGACCTACAAAGAAAATACATAAATCACGTGATTTTGGGGAAGAAATAATAGGATGAAAAACAAAAATAAAATAATAAAATAAGAAGAAACAATGAAATAATAGAACGCTTTAAAAAAGACACTGAAATAGTTTGCCCTAGTTGAAAAAATAAACCAGCCCAATAAGGAGATATTACCTGTAAGACCGCAAACAGTGTTCACTCGCTGTCTTCGTTGTCCAACCTGGGCCACTGGAGCCGTGCCCTCATCCGCGTCTGACTCCACAACACCAGTCTGAGAATATTTCAGTGAATTTTGAAATCACCAAACGTTTTTATCAGAAAGTTCTTACGTCAACACAAATCCGTTCTTCTGGAATCGACGAAGTCGTCAACTGAGAAGTCATGATCGATCGAAGACAATCGAGGATTTCAGTCTAAATAATGACCTATAAACGAAACGAACTCAACGGTGAATGTGATTGACGTTGATCGACTTTCTACCGGGGTGAGCCGTGCATTCTAATCTGATTCGGGCTCGTGGTGGCATTTGATGGTCATTTGGCTAATACAGTCTTTTGCGGATAAGCAAGTATGTATGTGTGAATATTTTTCTCTCCCATAAATTTGGTACCGACTAATGCACCCCGAAGGGACTGAAAACTTGGGACCTGGGTGACAATCGATTCGAGATTCGATCCTCGGACCGCTCGCGTGGTGATCCCCCCTTCTTGCCACCGCCCAAACGAATCCAGCACTTACAACTTCATAAAAATCGCGTGAAAAAACCAGCGCTCAACAGCCTAATTCCTTGCAAACTTAAAATAATTCTCCTG